TTCCTAGTACAATATCGGAATTTCATACAATTCCTAGTACAATATCGGAATTTAATACAATTCCTAGTACAATATCGGAATTTCATACAATTCCTAGAAAATGTATACATTTCCCAGGATATGTGTGTATTAAAAAAATTCTGAAACATTTCTTTTTTTTCATTTATTTTCTAAATAGCCTCGGAATAATATACAAATCCTAGATTTCATACATTTCCAGTAATATATATACCTAAAAAGGTAACCTTTTATTAGAAAACATATATTATATCTAAAAGGGAATGTGTATGTACATCAGGAAATAATTACTACGTTTAACTTCTTTCATGGAATGAAGTGGTCAGTAAAAGCTCTTATTGTCATTAAAAGAACAATAATGGAGGTAACGTTTCCAGTTAATAATTGTAATTCCCTTATAACTTTTTTCTTAAATAAACAGTACCTTTAGGACAAGCAATTAAGAGAAAAACGCAGTAATGGATTAGACTTGTTTTATAGCGCATATACACAATCGGTTACAAAAGAAAGGTTGAGAGATGTTTATATATATAAAGCCTGTTAAATAAAAAGAAATTATAGAATGAAAATATATTGACATGAAAACGTTTTTAAAGACATACTTTTGTTGCGTTCGTTTCATAAAATTCGGTAAAACATACGACAATACTTCGACAAATCAGTTTTCATGTAACCAACTGTACTTTCGTGTAGCGACATTGTCACTAAAAAAAAAGCATTTTATTGACGCAATTACTGATCGTTTTAGAACCGGTGTAAAAGGTAATTTGCCATAAATGACGAGAAATGGGTGACATTCCAGGCTTGCAACTCTCAGTCTAGCCGCCCGCATTCACCGGCATCGTAACATTAATATACGCATTTATAAATTTATATGGGGCGTAAATGGCAAAATTGTTTCAAAACAGCCGTGATTAACCTAAGCATATCTGATCAAATTAAATTATCATTAACATCTACAACGGGTACGTTTAACCAGGGCATGTCGACCAGAGCAATTACATCAATCACGTTTGTAATTAAAACGTATTCTATAAAAATCACATGGCAATAGACTGAACTTTTTTTATCGACGGTGGCGGGCTGATATGTTGGAGTATTTTATTCACAGAAAGCATTAGTTTGATACATTTCCTAGTACAATACCGGAATTTCATACAATTCCTAGAAAATGTATACATTTCCCAGGATATGTGTGTATTAGTGTCCGACCGAAAGTTCGGTTTCGGTTTCGGTCGAGTATCGGCAAAAAAACGAGTTTCGGTTTAGTTTCGGTTTCGGCGGCAAACCTGCCGAAACTACGACCGAAACCGAAACTGCGTTCGGGAGTTCTCGCGCTCTGCTCGGTCATGTTCGGCGCGTTAAATTCCATCCAAGCGAACAATAACAAAAGTAATTTTATGTTTAATATTATATATTTATATGGGGCGTAAATGGCAAAATTGTTTCAAAACAGCCGTGATTAACCTAAGCATATCTGATCAAATTAAATTATCATTAACATCTACAACGGGTGCGTTTAACCAGGGCATGTCGACCAGAGCAATTACATCAATCACGCTTGTAATTAAAACGTATTCTATAAAAATCACATGGCAATAGACTGAACTTTTTTTATCGACATATACAGAGTGACCGAAACTATTTTGATCAAAAAAGAAGTCTTTTTTGTATTTCTATTCGGCTGGGTTTTAGGTATTATCATCATATTTAAAACTGTTTTTAAACGGCACATTGTCAATGTGTGGAACCAGATACCCTTCTCAAAGTTGATACAGTCGAGACTACCTAAGGCGTGCTGATGAGATCGATTCATGTCTTGCAGTTTCGATAAAGCCAAGAAAAGAATTTAATTTTTAATGACTGTCACTTAAGTTTTTAAATATTCATTCGTTATTTTGTCTGTACATGAAATCTAACGTTTTGTTTCTGCGTTTCTTCTCTGAAACCCCCTGTATTTTTTCCCGTTTTGTCCGATCAGAATCTCCACTACAGGTCCTTGTACGCACGCGGTTGCATGTAAGGTATATGTATGATTATCGTTTAAGGAATTCAGCCAGACCAGCAGACCCGTTTTGCAACCTGTAGAATGTAAATTTAATGTGGCTTATAAGATAATGTCGGTGCCCAACTAAAAAACTTCGACAGCTATGCTAATGCAAATTACGACAGGCCACTTTTATACCCTGTAATTGATATTATTATTGTAATGCTGAGTCCACGTGACAAGTTGGCTGGCTCTCCCTCTGTACGCAATTAAGTTGTTTGTCTCCTTTTTATATCGGGTTACAGTCGTTTATTAAACTGGACACCATCAGAAATTTACACGTACGTTACGTATATGAAATTCGAAAATAACTTCTTCAGTGACTTCTTAATAATGTTATTAAATCCTAATTATTAAAACTGACTACAAGATGGACAATATTTATTTTTAAAACGTAAATTTTTCGTTTGTGTTGGTCAACCGGAAACTAAATTATTGATTTTGACTAACGATTTTAGGTAAACCCCAAAATACGTTCTAATAATTTGAAATAAGGGTAAACTTACCAAACCCTAATGCGTATGTACATCACGAAACGCGTTCAATACTAAAATACGAATTATAAGAGTACATGTAGGTACGTATTTTCGGGAAATATTTGCGCGAAAATCAGGTTCTCTCTGACATTTCCGAGTATCATGTATGCATATGGATATGTATGGTCATGAGAGATAGATCAAGTACCAGTATGTTAAGGAAAATCAAAAATGGCAAAAAAAAGGTGCTTTGTGGCCCACTTCACATAACTAAAATACAGAGAGATTTGAACTTTTCTACTGCTTAACTACCTACTTTATCTCTTACGATTTTTATACCTAAATTTAAGGATGTTTGGGAGGTACAATCGGAGACAAGAGTACATAAAATTAGAAATTCGTGATTAATTAGGTTTTGCAGCATATCATGAGGTAAATAGATACTATCTATACTAAAAAAAAGTATACGGTTTGAGAGAAAATTTGGAATTTGACCGAAAGTTTTGAAATAAACAAGAAATAACGAATAATATGGAAAATTTTTAACTGACTTTTGACAGTAAATATGCCTTGATTCCAACTTCGAAACAAAAAACTATTTAGTTTCAATCTCTATAAATAATGAGCGTAAAACTTTTTAATATGTTTAAATAAAAATTAAAACTTTAAAATTGCATTTATTTCAGATAATTATAAATATTATCAAGTAAAAACGAGATTTTCAACTAATTTTTCATTTTTTCTTCGATAACCATTTAGTGAATTTGAATAACCTTACGCTAAAGTGATTCTCGAGAGTTCAAGTTACTTATTATAAAAGTTTAAAATTTCTGGTAGCTTTTTTTCTGTTAATAAAAATTAATTTAATCTGTTCGGTTAACGAATCTCCATAAAATAACGTGTAACGTTTTAACGGTTTAGTGAATAAAATTGCATTTATTTCAGATAATTATAAATATTATCAAGTAAAAACGAGATTTTCAACTAATTTTTCATTTTTTCTTCGATAACCATTTAGTGAATTTGAATAACCTTACGCTAAAGTGATTCTCGAGAGTTCAAGTTACTTATTATAAAAGTTTAAAATTTCTGGTAGCCTTTTTCTGTTAATAAAAATAAATTTAATCTGTTTGGTTAACGAATCTCCATAAAATGACGTGTAAAATTACAATTTCTTAACATTTCAATAACTTTTTGATGGTTTAGTGAATCGATTTGTAATTTTTACAGGAGTTTTAGAATTGAATGAGGAACGTTCTTCCAAATTTTTATTTGTCTCGTAACATCTTGACATACCTCCCAAACATCCTTAAATGATCGCCTTGTTCAATTAAAGTTAATAGACGTTCGTGTAGCGGGTGTCCAGTCTAGTTCGCAACGTCTGTCGTTAAGAAGACGAGGAAGCTGTACCACTTACGTACCTATATGGCTAATGACGGTTCTGTTTTTAGCACGAAATGCGCTCGCAAGTTGCGTGAATAAATTGTGCCGGGTAGCAAGACTTCTTCTCGTCACACACACACACACACACACACACACACACAAGTGCATATCGAAAGGTTAAATGAGAACAGAATTAGCCGCGTCGTTACTATTTGATTTTTCGTTCCAGAATCGAACCTGTTTGCATAAAGCGGATTACATACGGCAGGTATGTATCGTGCACGCATGCCGAACACATTCCCACGATCCGGCGACGTCGATGGCTCTTCTTCGGCTCTCCGCCGGTGTTAGCGCGCCCAAGTTCCGGAGAATGTCACTTACGGCGCGCCGTAAGCTCTCCGCCGGTCACGGATAAAAGAAAAATAACGATCGCGTATGCATATCTGCGATAAACGTATTTATTTATTTATGTATATCGCATATGTGCGTATATATACCTGTTCGGTATCAAATAATGCCGATAAATTGTATTTAAGCAATAATCTCCTCTTCGATATGCGGTAAATGAAGATAATCCGTTTGGATATCTTCATAAAATGGTGCTACAACTTGACGTCGTACAGTTTCTTAAGTCACACAAAAAATTAATAATATTCTTCACTAAAAACATGCTTTTCATGGTTCACACCATTTCCATAATATAATTCCCATTATAATTTGCATCACAGCAACGTAGATAAATGAAGCGCAATAGACTATTAATTAATTAGTAATTCGATTTTAACTCGTTCTTTGCACAGTCAATAGTACATCTATACGTAGCATTTACATGCATTTTAATATTGTTTTATTTACTCTTTTAGGCGAAATATTACTTAATATGTACTTAGAATACATTAAAATCAGCGCTTTTTATTTAAAAATTCCGATTAAATGATTTCGCACTAAATATCTAAAGTATGTCGTTTATTTAGTTAGTTTCATTCATTGATTAGACGCTTTAATGATCAACTAGCTCTAGAATATTGCACCAATTAACTGAGAAAAATCGGATGAAAATCAAATTATTGCCTTACCTTAACTGTGTTGTTTACTTTGACGTGGTCTACTCTGCATTCATTTCTTCTAAAACAAAAGAAATTATGAGTTAATATTTTAATTAAATTACCAACAAGATACATGCAAAGCAATAGTACATATAAATGAGCATGAGAACGTAACAGTTTTTCGAATTTCATAAGTCAGCAATCAGTATATTTTTCTACGAAAGCAGTAGACAAAATCTCATAAATTTTAGATAACTGGTCACGTACATGTTTCTTCAAAATATAATTATCAAAGTTTATTACTATTCATATTCAGGGTTCAGAATGATCAGTTGATTAAACTCGTGTTTAAAATTATAATTTTAATCAAGCTGATTTTTTTTGAAATTATAATTAATTTATGAAAATAAAGTTAGTTGTACACTTAAAATTTATTTGTTTATAAAAGAAGTAAAACCTAGTAACATTTTTATGTTAATATTTATTGTTTATTATAATAATTACAAACGGATTTAACTGCTTTTTACAACACAACTTTTAAAAAATTTTTAATACCTACACAAAAGAGAGCTGTACGAACCTAAAGAAAAACTAAATATTGTTGAACTTTTGTAATATCTTAATTTGTTTCTTATATCTGATTGTATAAGTCAGTACCTACACTATAAATAGTATATCAATAAAAACTAACCAAAATTAAATTTACCAAAAGATTCAAAAAAATCGTCGATTAAAATCATGATTTTATTATCGATTTTTGATTTTTTCATAAACTCCATCTAGAGTTTTGAGAATTTTGGTTTTCGCTTTATGAGAGCAGTGTCCTATCTTCCAGGAAATCTGATTTTGTGATTAATGTAGATATGTGAAATCAAAAAAAATTCGAAATAGGGGTGCTGGTATCGAACCGTTATTTGTCAAATATTAGCACAATATTTTCAAGTAACGAAGGTTTTATGCTAATAATTTTAGGTCCCAGGCAAAGGGCCAGGTGATACAACAACATCCATTTATTATAATTTAAAATCTGATGGTGAACGTAATTACTTTATAACTAATTTTACGTATATTTATACCATTGCATAAATTTCGATGTGAAAATAAAAAACAAGTTTATACATATACCATAATGATGACAAATAAAAATAATATTCATAATTAAATATAGCATAATCCTTTCAAAAAAAAAAAAACAGTTTTAGTTTGTAATACGATAATATAAAAGTGATGTTCTTTTTTATTTTCAGATGATGGTAATGGCGGTGCTTTCTGCTCGATTATGGTGAGTTTTTTTACTTGTCAAATTAAGGTCAATTTTGTGATTGTACAGCTTCTCTTATTATTATATTCGAACGTTTCATTACGATCTAACAACCTAAAAAGTAGTACTACATTCTATTGTGGTAACAAGATTTGTACATTACGCTGGTTCTGGGCTGTGCAAGTTATCGTTTGCTTGCCCATCAAGAGGTACCCACCTAATTACCTGCTTGCGTTCAATCTAATGCTATTTTTTACCATCATCCACTCGTAGTTGCTATTAATCAATTACCACGGCCCGGTCAAATACCAGAATTAATATCGACGCGTTCTCGGCCCAAGAAAATAGTTAATCAAATAAATTGCTTGCGACAGAACTAATGGCCTGTCTTAACTGTAGGAGATTCCGATTTGTTTTTTACCCATGGGCCCGGTACAACGAACGTGCCGATCGTTAATTAGAAATATATTCGCATATCGAAGGAGGCGGCAGGACATTAGTGAAGGACGGCCTTGAACCGCACTTTTGTCAGCATGTTAACGAATGCCTCGATACGAACACGTAAAGATGAAGAAGGCATACCTTTTATTACACCTGCTTACTTATATTAATTTTTCTGGTCGCTTCAACAGCTTCCAGATTAAAATACCTGAGAGACACGCCAAGACCGTTACTATTTATGGCATGCAAATGCCTTTCGAATTCTTTCGAGAATCGTACAATCTCCTAATTGCGGAATCTTCATCAAAAAAATAAATACTTCGATCCTATAGTTAGCTTCACGGATTTCTTAACTACGTTATAAATCTTACAACTACATACCTAAGTCAGTATAACTATATGTATAATTATCGTAATTCGTAAGTTTCTGGTTTGCTACATCCAACTGTTTAGAAAGTAGCCTTTTCACTTGAAACCGGGTATATTACTTACAGAGCAAAATATATTAATTGCAAGGGAAATTAAGTTGGCATTTGAAAGACCAACGAGTTTGCTATAATACATGAACTGCTAAAATCCTACTATTACATAGTATTCTATTAATCTAACTGTTATTTTAAAATCCTCTTGTCGTGTAGCTTTTTTAGTTAACGTTAGATATTATGAAGCGATTTTTCCTTAAGTGAAACAAATTTAGTACACCACAGTATACTTAAGTTTACTATATTTGCGTACACCTTAAAAATTTGGATCGATAGCACACACACATTATTATTCCAATTTCCTTATCAACTTTTTATCAGTTTGTGGATTTTGAAAGTCTACCCACACCCCACGACAAAAGAATTGAAATTATTTTTGTTAAGTCGCTGGCTGACTTTCGGTATCTAGGAAGTCAGATAATTCAGGATGGAAGGAGCGGTAGAGATATAAAACAAAGGATAGCGCAGAGTCACATCACCTTTGGTTAATTTAAAAAGAAAAAGGTTGTCAAAGGTGTACATTTGGAGTACGGTTCTGTACGGGTGCCAAACGTGGACGCAACGGAAAAGAGAAGGTTAGAGGAATTCAAAATGTTGTGTTACAAGCGAATGATGAGGATAGAGAAGGTTAAAAATTAGGAGGTATTAAACAGGTATGAAGAACTAGTTATAGGCATACATATTAGAAGCAGAAAAGTTAAAACTATGGAATGTTCTATATAGTTTTAAGGAAATGCGAAGATTAGTCTAATCGACATACATTCAGGAAACCCCAAGATAGAGGGCGGACGTGGAATTTTTATGACTAGCTTTGTATTGAATTGAAAACGCGCTGCAATTTACGAACAGTGTAATCCAGAATTATTTTCCAGGGAATTTATACTAATCATAATTCGAACTTTATGTATTGTTCACAATTTAAATAGAATTGACTTTAACAGAATTTATTTTTACTTTGATGGCAAATTCCTCAGGTGTAAGAACGCAAAGCATAAAATGAAGTTTTAATTTGACGTTGCCTTGGAAGCCACTTTTTCGTTTTGCTCTTATTATTGGCTCCTTTAACTGGCATTGTTATTGACGTGAATACAAACGGGAACGAATGAAAGCTTCGAAGACCGCGATGTCGAGCGTGCTGGTGGACGCGTACAAACATACGTACACGATACACGGGAAAGACGCTTGCAAAGCGGGCGTAGTTTTAAAAGTGTGAATTCCAAAGGCGCCAGCATTAACATCACCATTTCGATAGAGGCCAGGAAAAAGAACGCCGAGTCGACTTGTCTCGACTCGAGACTCGACTGGATCGTGGAAGTGGTGCATGGAAGCGGTGGTTCTTTATTGTCTGGCCATCGACAACATGGACAACGATAATGTATCCGCGCAAATATATATTTACGCTATAGTAAACCTCAAAATATACAAACAATACAACAATATTTAGCCATAATGTACTGAATTTTTAAGTGATCAGTAGCTGTAAATATTTGTCATTGTGGAAATGGATGACATGTTTAACAAGAAACACCTAAAAATCTATTTCTAAACTTAATTCTGTTCATATCAGTCTCCGAAACATAACGTAGTATTTCCACTATGGGTTCAGTACGACAACTCGATATCCTTGTTAGAAAAGGACCTTGTCGAACATTATTGAATCCTACAATGTGTAATTTTTTACCGACGACGACAATAATGTTAACGATAATTATATTAAGATCCTGGATAAATACTTTAGGATTCTTGGATCCTGTCATAATCAAAAGTTTTACCCTAATTATGTTGCACACGTTCATATGACATCTTACAGGTCTCAGCTATCTCACGCACTTTCAATCTGCGGTCTCCCAGCACTATTTGATGAATTTTTTCGATCATATCTGGAGTTGTGACCTCAACGGGGCGTCCTGAGCGAGGCCCATCAGAGGTGCTCACACGACCCTTTTTAAACTCGGAAACCCACTGCTTAACGGTTGAATATGACGGAGAGGATGTCCCCAGTGTTGAGTCCATCTCTTTTTTAATTTCCTTCGGCGTTAACCCCTTCAAATAAAAGTATTTGATGACAGCACGATTTTCCTGCTTTTCCATTTTTACGAAAACCACAGAGGCGTCTTGTTCAGCGTGCTGTCAAACCTACACTAGCAAGGAGATCGGGCTGAAACTATAGCTACAAGCTATCCAAGGATGGTACTATAGAATGTCACCTCAAGGTAGGCCTAGTGGCGTCATCTCTTGGTTAGGCCGGAAACTTATCAATCCACCCTCGTAGAAGAGTGATACATAGTTTGTACAAAGAGCAATAGGCGGTTATAGAGCTAGGGCTTCAACGTAGAGAAGTAAATATTAGGAAGGGAGTCAGGCAGGGATACACACTGTCACCGCTACTTTTTAATCTTATCATTAAAGACAGTACAACTGTAGGGATAGATATACAGGAGCAAAAGATTAGTATGCTTAGATTTGCAGATGATATAGCACTATTAGCATCTTGCTATAAGAAGTTAGAGGTAGCCTTAAATAAAATGGATGTATTATTGACAAAACAGTAATGTATGAAAATAAATAAAAGTAAAACAAAAATACTGGTATGCAAGGAAAGAAAAAGTAAGGAAAGAGCGAATATAAAGGTAGGAGACGAAAAATTAGAAGAAGTGACCGATTTTAGGTATCTAGGAAGTCAGATTAAATCAGGACGGAAGGGGGAGTAGGGTCATAAAGCAGAGGACAGCGCACGGTCGAGTCCCCTTCTATAAAAAGAAGTCACCTCTATGCTCGCGAACGGTTTATTTAGAAGTTCGAAAAAGATTGTTAAAGGTGTATGTTTGCAGCGTGGCATGGACGATGGGCGCACCGCGGAAAGGAAGAGGTTAGAAGCGTTCCAAATGTGGTGTT